GACACTCTCGCCACCAGCTTCTGTCTGAGGACCTGGTCTAGATTCCTCCTGCTGACTCCAAGAGAGGATTTGTTGTCATAGGAGGTAGGGGTGCCCCATCCCAAACACTTGTAAGGGATGCATGTGGCTACCAGTCAGATCTCTATCCTTTTCCATAGCTTGGGGAGATCCTTGGAAAGGATTCAAAGAATTAAAGTTCAGACTATTTACTATTTAAAGCCGGAAACGGTTCCAAGTGATTGTCTCAGCCAACTTACCCGGAGAAGGAAACAGAGGCCCCCAAAAGTGATGGACTAAATGTGACAAAAAGAATTTGTGGCAAAGCTATGATAAGAACAGAGGTGGGAGAAGCTAGGAGACAGTAGTCATTTGTCGTACTACGTGACACGGTTTCATGATTTTATCAACAATGAACGCCTCTCTCACTGCACTTCACTTAGAACTAGGTTGTAAATCATAAGAACTTTTTAATATTTTTGATCTGCTATGATTGCCATCCTCTAAGTTGCCCCATTGTATTTATTGGCATAGGCTCTCCAGCAAGGAGAGGAAAACCATGTAGCATATTACATACCTACCGTGTGTGAGGCACCATTTTAGGCAATTTTATGAGACACAGTCTGGGTGGAGAAATCACTTACTTTATTTGGAGTTACAGAGTCAGAAAATGCATCCGTTGGATTACAAAACCCTTGTCTTTACCACAATATTAAGCCTTGCTCCCCCCAAATCAGCCAGAAAATTCAGATCAATTCTCTCCTTTCCTCAAATAAGGGAATATGACTTGTAATGTGATTAACACAATGCCCAACACCTAGTAGGTCCTCAACACATAAAGGACAATTCTCTCTGTCTTTTCCTTCAGGTTTCAATAATAAATCAATTTGAACTCGTAAGCGCAAGGTCCGGAGTTTGATCCCCAGTACTAAAAAAAAAAAAAAAATTACAGTTCTCAATAAATAGATTTGAGTCATTTTTCTTATGGGTATTTAATAATATTGCCCATACTTTTGTGTACAATACATGTATACTATGTGTATAAGATACAAGAATTATGACTACATTATTTTGATTGATTTGGGGGAAATCTAAAGTCTATCTGTAGGTATTAACCTTGCTTGCCAGGAATTTTTGCAAAAGTATTTTTCTGGAAGAGAAAACATCATAGAAATTATCCCACCATGGAAAGGGAATTAATATTCTCCTCAGCAGAATTTTCTACTGCAGGAAGGCTGTGGGGAAGCAGGCTCATGCTAGATCCCAGACAGCAGATTGCCTGCACCTCTGTTTCCGGGCGCTGTGGCTCCATGTTCTGGACTTGTCATTTGCTCTAAATCACTCATATAAAGTCTCCAATATGTATTGTAGATGGGCCAAGAGTCAGGAAATCTGGATTCTTTTACAAAAGAAATGGCACATCAAGATTTTTTTTTTTTTAATTTTAAAGGCTAAAGTAGAACCTTTCGTTAACCTTAAAATGTCCTGAAACTGAACAACTTGAAGGCCACATTCCTAAGGCACAAGTTCTGGAAATAAAAGTCAGCATCACTCAGTGTGAAGGTCATTGTCCCAGGAGGCATGGGGCATCGAATGCTGGACTTGAATGTACCTCACCTGTAATATGGCTCAGGATGGGGCTGTGCATGCAGGGATAGAGGGGAACCAGCTGAACTAATGCTATTGGGAAATTTTTTAGATTATCCTGTACATGTTCTTGTATGAATTATTTTCTGCAGGTGAACAATTTAAAAGGCCCAAATCATGTGCTACCACTTGAATGCTTGAAACCTCACAGTAGCGTCTCAGATGCCTGTGCCATCCTTAGCAGGATCGCCAGGCCCCCGCCTTGTGAGCTCATTTGTATCTCTCTCCTCTCAGTCAGACCCTTACACCTGTCAGCCTCCACCCCTCACAGAGCCTCACATGGAGAAGTCTTCCCTTATGGCTCTGTAATTGACTCCTACTCAACCTGGGAATCAAACTGTACTTCCTCGGGAAGTCTTTTCTTATCTCCTGACCAGGTAAAATATAATTTTTTAAAATATAATTTTTGCATATAATATATTTACACATTTATGGGGTACTTGGGACCCCCCTTTATAGCTCTGATCGTAGGTGCATCTTTACATTTGTTGACTGGATTGTTTATTCTCTGTTTTCTACAAACCCCCAAATAGTAAAATGTTACCTGAAACAAAATAGATGTTCAGTATCTATCTGTTAGATGAATGGATGAAAATCTGACATAAAAGTTACTTACAGTCCTTCCAGACTGGCCAGGCCCAAGAGGGCTTCTCAGGACCTGCCTCAGGCTGCTCAATCTCCTGAGGTCTGTATAGAAGACCCACTGTTAGGTCTTGGGGTTCCCTGGGCCACACTCCTGGGTGCTCACTTAGTGTCTCGAGTGCCTGGATGGATACCTTAGCTGCCACGTCTCTCTACGTCATATTTTCCACTCATCAACCTAACTTGCCTAGGGCTCTTCCAGAAGTCTGTAGTTATGGAAAGTATTTCTGCTCCATGCTGTCTCTTGTCTCTAAAGTCATCCCCTACTTCACGGGGATCTGGGGTGTTGTTTGTTTCAAAATGGGTCTAGTGATGTTTACCCAGGTGTGTTTGTCCAGTGGTGTGCTTATAATTTGTGCACTTTTAAAGAAGTGTGTTATATTTCATTTTAAAACATGAAAATATTTTAGAGGCCTTAAGAGCAACTTGAATAATAATAAGAGAGACTGACAAACAGACAGACAGACACAAAGAAAAATAAAAAAGAACACCAATAAAGAGTGGTTAGAGAAATCATTGATCAGACATACTATGGAAATGTCAGAAAACAAAAAAAATGAGATACAATTATTTACACTAGGCAAAATTCATGTTAAATATTCACTTATTAAATTTAGACAGCAAATCATGGAGCACTACATATTGTGATCCTATTTAATAAAAGGGAAAATCCTAAGGTATGAAATCAGTGAGGATTTACATATTCCTTACCTTTCCTTCCACTCATTCTACCTGTTAAAGAAAATCATATTTTGCCTTTGAAGATTTATAATTCCTTCTTTTCCTCCTATACAAAATCAGTAGAATTGGCTAGAGAGACAGTGAGAACAGCTAGAGAAGAGGAGAGGTTTTTGTTCCTCGATCAATTCATCTGGGACAGAGAATCCCATGGGTAGGTAAAAATACAGAGAACATTACCAAGGAAGCCAGAAAGACTCAAACTATCTACGTAATCAAAACCAGAGGGAAGACAAGTAAAGGAGCAGGAAGAAAGTGATGAACAAAACTGCCATGCAGCCTGGCCTAGTGGCATATGTCTGCAACCCCCACACCCTGGGAGGCTGAAGCAGGAAGACTGTGAATTTCAGCTCAGCATGGGCAACTTAGTGACTTATTGAGACCTCGTTTTTAATAAAAATAAAGGGCTGGGGATGCAGCTCCGTGTGCAAGTCCTGTGTTTAATCCCCAGTAATGAGAAGGAGAAACAGAAGGAGCAAGAGGAGAGGGTTGGAGGGCAGGGTGGAGCCGGGGAAGTGAGGCGGCGGGGAAGTGAAGGAGCATGGGGAGAAGGGGAAGCCACCACAGTGCCTAGATGTTAGAGAGCGCAGAGGCAAGTTCAGTGAGGGTTTACTAAATAACTGCGGGGTGTGGAAGAATGCAGTGGTTAGAAAATGGAATCTTTACAGGTGTATTATGAGTTGTGAAGTGGACTGCCTGCATATTTTATGATAGACGAGTGCTAGGCTGGACATTCTGGATGCCATTTTCTGCAGAGACTAAGCTATATAGGGCTTCAGAGATTACTTAACTCTGTGAAGTTTCCATCCCTGGAAAATAATATGGAGCTGGAAGTTTATTAGTGACTTAATTTTGACCTATAAACTTCTGTACTAATAATATTTCAATACAGCTCATGAAACATAATTTCTACATAATCACTATAAAAAGCATCACATGGTCATGTTAATGGCAGAATAAGCGCCATTCATTTCTTCCTGCACTGAAGGTGCTGCCTAATGGTACAAGAGGAAGAGAAGTTTCCTTCCCAGCCCTGAAGGAGTGTCCAGTACCTAGGCTGAAACCCCAGGGCATTTGGATGGAGGGGTGTAGTATGCTTTGAGAAGGTACAGTTCTTTAAATATTCAAAGGCAGCAGAGCACTCTAGATAACTTTCTGTAGTGTCCTAGGGTAAATCAGAGATTTTATTAGGAACACAATATTGCATACGCTCATTCATCCACTCCTTTATACATTTAGCCAACAATTCATCTCCTGTGCACCAGGTCTCGTGGGACTGGTTTGAACAGTAGTTGTCCTTCTGCCTTTTTTCTTATTGTGTACATTTTAGTTATGAGTCCACCTGAAACCCTCCAGAGCTAGCCAAGCCATGGAGGAAGAAGTGCTAATGATGATGGGCACCTGGCTTTGGGGCTGGGATCCTGGTCCCACTAGGTCACATTCCTCACTTAGCGCCAGAGCTGACCTGCACAGTGTCTGCCCTCTTCAAGGGAGTCCTGGCTTCTTCCTTAGGCCAGTGTTTTATGGGGCAAACTTATTAGATGAGAAAATGCCATCCATAAAGTCCCCCGTGGGCTCAGCCTCCTGCACAGCGGCATCCAGTGGTGCTCCTGAGATTTGATTTTGCCATGGCCTCAGCATCTGGCAAGATAAACTCAGAGGTAGCACTCACTGACCATGATGCCAGGAGGGGCCTGTCATAGCCTAACCTTCTCCTTAAACTAATCAGAGAACAGAGATGCAGCAGTTCTCAGTCCTCAAAGCTGCATGTACTAATTTGCACAGGAAAGCCTATCTGAAGCATTCTCGAAGGCAAGTTCACTAGCTTGGTCTGGATCTGCTTGTGCATGTTCTTACAGATCTTCCCTCTAGGAAAAGCAAAGGGTGAAAGAGAGCAGAGAGAGTCTAGGATAGGAAAGCATAAACATGAACCAAAGAAATAGACCGCAAGTCACCATGCATTGGATTCAGAGCTTTATTCTTGCCGAGGTGTGGGACGTGCGCTAACCCTGGCAGGATGCCTTGATAACGAAGCAAAGTGTGGAGGGAAAGGGATGAGGTTCTGCACAGCTAGGAATAGCAGGGAAGAGGCTGGGTCCAGTGATGTCTCCAAGGGCATAGCCTTGAATTCTGGAGCAGGTCTGCCCTTTTGTATTCAACAGCAGCAGTCATCCTCGTGGTGACAGCACGCAGGGCCTCGGGATCTCATGGGGATGATTCCCAAACAGCAGCACCCCCCAGATCCGCAGCCCCCAGAGCTGCAGCATCCAGAGCTGCAGCATCCAGAATCCTCACAGCAGCCAGACGATCCTGTGTTGCAATTCTGTGGCCGCTGGACCCAGCGTCTCAGGGGACTGACCCCGAAGGTCCGGGGAGCAAGACAGCAATAGCTGGTGGAACAGGGAGCAGAGCAGGGGTCAGGGACGCAGCCCTGGGAGGCTGAGCCACACCCAGAAGCTTGAGTGTAGTAGGTCTGGCTGGAAGAAGGGCACTGAACATAATATGTCTGGGTCTGGCATGGAGCTGGGCACTTCACATATGATGTCTGGCAGGGAGCTGGACATTTCACATATGATGTCTGGCAGGGAGCTGGACACTTCACATAAGATGTCTGGCAGGGAGCTGGACACTTCACATATGTCTGGCAGGGAGCTGGACACTTCACATATGTCTGGCAGGGAGCTGGGCATTTGACATAGGTCGTTTGGCAGGGAACTGGGCACTTCACGTAGGTTTGAGTCTGGCATGGAACTTGGTATTTCACACAGGTTTGAGCTGGAGCTGGAACTGAAGCTGGGTAATTCACGAAGGCTGGAGCCTGGCCAACAACGGGGCCGGTCACACAGACAGCTGGAGCCTGGCAAGCAATGGGGCCGGTCACACAGACAGATGGAGCCTGGTCAGCAACGGGGCCGGTCACACAGACTGTCTGGGTCTGGCTTGGAGCCTGGCATTTCACAGAGGCCCCACCAGCACCTTGTACAGCCCCCAGTCCTGAACCTTTCACACAGGAGGGAAAACACTGTGGCTGTTTCTGCTGGTCACACATCTTACCGTGGCTTTGCAAAATCTGAAAAGAAAAGCTTCATCAGAACCGTGAAAGTAGGCAGGTTTCCAGGGAGACGGGCAAGATCCCTTAGATAGAATGACCGATCACCAGAGTGGCCTTTTGAGAAGTTCATGGACACCTAGAGGCTGCATGTCTGCCAGTGGGGTAGGGCCAGAGCCAGAGGTGCTAGGTTCACCTCTTGTATGTTTCCTGGATGACTTCCGGCAGGTCACTGCACACCTGTGCAACTCAGATGCCACAACAGAAAATGAAGGGCTCAAAAAGCCAGTGTTCATGTTTCTACCCAACTCTCACGTTTCCTCTCCCCTTACTCACTTCAGTATTTGCATTTGAGTTACCCTTAAAAACTGCTTTTGTTTGGCTTATTTCTCCTGACACTAAATCCAGGAAGCTCTCCTTCTCCCTCCTGTGCAGGCAGGGAGTACCCAGGGAGGGCACATTTGTGTTCATTGATCCTGAGCCAATATAACCCTCAAGCTGAGCCAGACAAGGAGCAAAAAACGAGGTCAACATTGTTGAATAAGTTTCCACCATTTGCTCCTTGGATCAGCTAGATATCATTTCTGCTCACTAGTAAGTGGACCAGAGAGAGGACTGTACAAATGCAGGCAGAGAGGGAGAATGGGGAAGCCAGTGCTCTGAAATCCCTTCCCACATAGACTAACCAGCTTGGCTCACACCTCCCCCTCTTGTCTGGTAGCCCAGCTGCCCAGCTCTCTGCCGGCTGGCTGACCTTCTGTTCTTCATGGACATCCTCAGGGTCTCGTCCTGCCTCACCCTCCATCTCGGTTATCTACCCCAACATCACCTGGACTCTGATCCCTGCCAAGCCCCTATCCCAACTGAGAGACTCACCTTCTTTCCCGGCAGGAACAAGACTGGAAGAGGCTAAGGATCTAAGGGACTGGCAGTTGGGGAGCCTTTTTATAGGGCAGCAGTGAGGCAATTTAATGGCATCTAAATGAAGCACCAAGCATCACGAGGATGAGGACTGGTGTTGCATTCGCGAGATTCCTCCCCAGTATGCCTGGCTCTTCAGTCAGAGGCAGGGCATGTCTCTGCTTGACACTGAATGTTCCTAAACTTGAGATAAGTGATTCCAGCTGTGTTCTACATAAAATAAGTCCATCTTCTTTTCCTAGAAGCTATGAGTGATGCCCATGCATCTTTTCCTAATCAAGCTGTTTCAAGGCACTTGGGTCTTCAAGGTATGATCAGATTTGGTTGGCCCAGTGGTCTCTGGCTCAACATGGCATTGAGGCTTCCAAGTACGACTTGACCCATGAACAATCAGGTTATTCTAAGTTTATTGGGAAACTGGGTGAGTGCTTGATAATCCCAGACCCCAAGCTCTATGTCTGCACTGTCTCATGTTCTCTGATCTCCCCCACCCTCACCTTCCTATTTTTCAACCCCAGGAATAAATTCCACAGGACCCAGGGGAGGAGGAATTTCAGCTAAATGAACACTGGGTGATGACAATAATAGTAGAGTCTAACATTAATTGTAATGTTTTCCATGTGTCAGGAAATTTTTGAGGCAGGTGCATTTATAGATGGATGTGACTGAGGCCCTGAAAGGTTGAAAGACACTTATTCATCAAGCAAAGCAAGTGAGTAGGGATGGCAGAATTCAGTTATAGCCAATGTGCTTTTGTAGAGTTGATCTTTATCACTGGCATATGTTGTCTTTCAAGTCTGAACATAGGAATAGGATCAACCTTGAATCCCTGTCATCCTTCCTTTCCCCAAAGCAGTAGAAACAGAAGGAGAGATGGAAATAATATCTACTGAGCACTTACTATGTGCTGAGCATTGCTCTAGCCTTTCCCTGCCTTTAATCTTTGCCATAACCTTGTGAGGTAGGCTGTGTTAGCTCCATTTTGAAAAAATTCATTTACTTTTTATTAGTACATATTTACAATTTGTGCAGTTTACAATCATCTTGGGAGTGGTTACGTGTACATATGACAGGTTGTTTCTTTTTATTTTAGTTCCCACTCTTCCCCTCCACCCTATCCCCCGTCCCCTTTTTCATACTTGTTGATATTACTTTCACTTGTCTTAGCTCATGTTATGGCATAGTGTGTTTACATTAATTAGGATTATTAGGTTTCCATACATGATATATCTTTATTCTTCTTATTTCCCCTTTCCCTCCTCTTCACTTCTTTCCCCTATTCCCTTGGATCACTTCCCTGTTGCAAAAGATCTGTTCCCTTGTCCCTTTCTATCCATCCTATGTCATTTTCTCTGCTTGTACTTTGCTTCACTCAAATGAAAAATACCACACAATATTTAAGCTTATGTGTCCAGTTTATTTGACTAAAAATTATATTTTCCAGTTACATCCATTTTCCCACAAATCTCTCAAATTTGTCATTCTTTATAGCTGAGTATTATTCCATTATATGTAGAAACCACATTTTGTTTATCCAATCATCTGTTGATGGGTATACAGACTGCCATCTTTAGCTATTAAGAATTGTGCTGCTATAAACATTGGTATGCAAGTGTCACCTGCAGTATGATGACTTAAGCACTTTGGGAAAGATACCTAGCAGAAGAATAGCTGGGTCATATGGAATTTCTAATTTCAGTTCTTTGAGAAACCACCATACTGATTTCCATAATGGTTGCACTACTTTGCATTCACACCAACAATACAGGAGGGTTTCTTTTTTACTACAGCCTCACCACCATTTGTTAGTGTTTGATTTCCTAATGATTGCCATTCTTACCAGAGTAAGATGGAATCAAGGTTTTTTAATTTGCATTTCTCTAATGGACAAAAATGGACATCTTTTTCATATATCTGTTGACTATTTGTATTTCTTCCTCTGTGAAGTATCTGTTCTATTCTCTTGCCCATTTCTTGACTGGGTCTTTAATTTCAGGTGTTTGATTTTTTTGAGTTCTTTGTATATATTCTAGATATTCTCCTCTGTCTCAGGAGTAGCTAGCAAAATTTCTTTCCTATTCTGTAAGTCATCTCTTCATTCTATTGATAGATTCTTTTGCTGTACAGAAGCTTTTTAGTCTGATATAATCCCATTTGTTGATCCTTGCTGCTATTTCTTGTGTGATTGAGGTTCTGTTTAGAAAAATCCTTTCCTACACCTATGTCTTCAAGTGTTTACCTATTTTACCTTCCAGTAGGTTTAACGTTTCTGTTTTAATGTTTAGATCTTTGATCCATTTTGATTTTAATTTAGTGTATGGTGAGAGATAAGGGTCCTGTTTCATTCTTCTACAAACAAATGACCAGGTTTCCCAGCATGACTTGTTGAATAGGCTGTCTTTCCTTTTGCTTTTGGGCCCTTTGTCAAAGATCAAATAGTTGAATATGTCAAGGGAGGTTTCTGCATCCTTGATTCTGTTCCGTTGTTCCAGTGTCATACTGTTTTTCTCACTGTTGTTTTGTAGTATAGTTTGAAGTCAAATATTTATGTTAGCCCCATTTTTACAGAAGAAGAAACTGAGACTCAGATGTCTATTTCACCAGTGTCATCTTTTTTTAGTAGGTAATAGTGCATCAGTGGAATAATTCCAGGACCTATGCTCTGGAGATAAGGGGAAAGGAACAATGTCTTATTGGAATCAGACATGTCACATAGTTCATCAAAGTTAGTCTTTACAATAGTTTCCCAAACAAACAAAAAAGTTTGACAAACTAACAACCTTCTTGAGCTCACACAGCCAAAAGCAATAGAGCTGGAATTTGAACCCACGTATAAGAGACTTCAAATTTGTATTATTTTCTCACCACAACATGCTGCTTCTGACATTAAAATCTGTGATGTTTTGGGAACCACATTTTTAGTCATCCAACAGACAGGCCTCTGTATTCTATGTCAGATAGGACAGACCCACTTCACAGCATAGAAAATGCCTCGGAAGGCCAGTTGTTTTAAGGGCCTGTCCATAAAACAAGAGAGATACTTTTGGGGCACAAAGAGGGAGAACTGAGGTCCTGTTCTGATTCTGTCACTGCCCTGTACTATGACTTCCTAATGCCCTACCTTCTCTGGGCCTATTCTCTTATTTTCCAAAATATGGAACTTAGGTGAGTTCCTTTATGGCTATGAAAGTCTATGATTGCAGAGATCTGTTCTGTGAAGACACTATGTATATCCACAACCTAGCCATTCATGTAGTTATGCCTACTGGGTTATAATTTTCACATGTTAGTAACTGTGGACAATTAACTATATATCATCACAGAACCTGGGAGATATTTACTAAACGAATGAATGTGTGTACAAATGGGGATGCTTTACATGGACAGCACAGTCCAGAGCAACCTCTGTCCTCATGTAGTAAGTGCCATCAGTCTTTCTGTTAGCCAGTTGGGGCATTTTGTGCCATCTGTGAGCTCTGATTGGCTCACTTCCTGTCCTCTAGGTCAAGTTATCATTAATTGTTTTGACATCTGCAGATGCCACCAACATCTCCGGTGAGAGATACTGAACCCATGTGCCACCCAAACGGGTGGGTGGGTTGTGCCCCACCCATTGGCCCCGCCCATTTCATAGGCTGGGAAGGCAAGGCATGGAGAAACTAGGTGACTGGTGCCAGTGCCGAAATGAGTCATGAGTTATCCTCAAAAGTTTCCAGAACCTCCCTCCCATTTATATCCTCAGACACAAGCTCATAGAATCCCAGACCTATGGATTCATGCAATGCCAGTCCACGAGACTCACGGGATAATGGGTAGAGACTCTTCTCTGAGGTGGAGGGGACTAACATGGGTCAGGGAGGTGGTCCTTGGCTACCTCATTCAGTCCAATGGGCTCTTCATCTTAGGAAGGTCTTCTGGTCTTTAAATGTTCCCTGCAGTCCTGGTGGTTAGCTTATTTTAGGATTCACCATCTCAATAGTCAGGAACCATTCACTAGCCTATAACACAGGTCTCTAGCACCAGCATTCAGGGATCCTGCTATCCAGGTGGTGAATCCTGAGACTGGAGCAAGTGGCCAG